AAACAAAGGAAAGTTAAATAGAAGGATCAACAGCATTATATAGAAGAACGAGTTCTGAGAAAATCAAAGAGAAGAATCAGCAGCGGAAGAAGGATCAGAGGTATCAATGAACTGCATAGTACTACGTGGACCATGGCATCATTGATCTTGATATTAACTGATATATTGCACTAGTACTTCAAACTAGTACCTCAAACTCGATTCCGAATCCACTACAACTTGACTACTACAAGCGTTGTATCGTATCGTGTTGCGAAGCACTGCAAGCTACCTGTGATTCTGTACGAGAATCTCTCGAATTAGCAACGGCGGAAACGATGCCCGAGAAAATCAAAGAGAAGAATCAGCAGCGGAAGAAGGATCAGAGGTATCAAAGAACTGCATACTACGTGTACAGTGGCATCATTGATCTTGATATTAACTGATACATTGCATTAGCACTTCAAACAAGTACTTCAAACTCGATTTCGAATCCACTATAACCTGACTACAAGGCGTTGTATCGAATCGTGTTCAAGGGCAGAAGTTGTCGCAGCACCGCAAGTATCCTGTGTGATTCTGTACGAGACTCTCGGCTACAGAACTTGAAGATGTATCACGTATCTCATATCTCGAATAGAAACGGCGGAAACGATGTCCCATACTCCATACCGAATAACCATACACCAGACACTCAGCCCAGCCCAACGAACGAAGATCAGGAAACATGATAACATGATCGTATTATCAGATATTATGGGAGTTGAAACGTTGACCGGTTGACGGCCAAACGAGAATGTAATAGATGGTAATGGTAATAGGTAAATACAACACAAACCCCAGAAAAAAAAATATACAGATACAGATAATGAGGGCGGTGGGAGAGGTGAAGAGGTGGAGAGGTATAAGGAGGGGTATAGGGAGGGAGGGAGGTAAAGTGTCAGGTAAGTAAGTATAAGCCGTCATCAAAGGGAGCTATAGTACCTTGCACACATCCAAGTAAAAATAAATCCTTCCAAAGGAAGAGAAAAGAAAAAAATCATTATCATCAATCATCATCAATCGTCAAAGCAAACCGTTGAAGCTCGGGTACAACCAACCAAAATAGAGAAACATAAAAAATGGCAACATAAAAAAGGAACCAAACAATCAACTCGAACGCGTCTGTTCCTTCTCCCTCACACCCGGCCTCTCAACTCCACTCGTAAGCCCCCTCACAAGCCCCACCGACCCATACACCCTCTCCCGACTCGGCAACCCAAACCCAAACGCCAACGCCTTCGGACTAGGTAACCCCGAGAGTGATAACGGAAGCCTCTCCAACGACGGTAACCTCTCCAACGGATTCCTCCTCCTCACCTGCTCCTTAACACTCGACGCAGACGGAAATCTCTCCAGCGGATCCTCTTCCTAACCTGCTCCTTCACGGTCGACGCAGAGCCTCTAACGCCCCTCAATCCCCTCATGCCCAAACCACGAAAGCCCAGGCCCCTGAAACCACGAAGGTCCAGTCCCCGTAGCCGCGTACGATAATGCGCATACCGCGACGAATAATGGGCGTAGCGCATCGAGTAGTACCGGGCGTAGTGGGTGTAGTGGGCGTATAGGTTTGGGCGTGGGTGATGAGCCGGGACGAGGGATACGGGTACCACACCAGTCTCTTTCCTCTCTTTCCTCTCTTTCCCATCTTTCTTCCCTATCTTCGCTATCCTCTCCTTCTTCACCTTCGCCCGTTTCTTGAAGCCCTTTAGACACGCCATGAACCACGTCGCGTGCATCGGAAAGATACACGTAAGGAGGATAGCGGGGACGATGGAGCCTATTTCCGGGGATGATGGTGACGGCATAGAGAGAGGGGATATTGATTCTGAGTATGTTGTGGTGAGAGGTGTCAATGGCGTAAGAGGTGTAAGAGGAGTTAGAGGGCGGTTCTTGGGGATGTAATACGCGAGGCAGATGATACTATGGAAGAGGATACGCGTGACGAAGAAGGAGACGGCGAAGAGGACGTTGGAGCGGAGGCGCGGAAAGAGTGTTGAGAGGCCGAGGACGAAAGTTGGGAGCTGGAACGAGGAAAAAAAAAAAATAAAGTTAGCACAAAATATTTTAGGTGTAGGGCACGGTGCACGAACCTCCATACACGTAGCCAAAGAAAAGACATATGCCCATTTCTGCTGAATCGCATACTCAATAATGCCTAAATACAAGATATGATGGAACCAGCCAGTCGCAATGTTTATTTGGTCCCGATAACGTAGTACCCCAACCGACAAGTCACTAGAACCCAATAACAATCAGTGAAAAAAATCAGGGTTGAAAATGGGCAACCCACGCGAACAAATACGCCTGAAAAAGCCGACTAGAACCAACTGACAGCTCCGGAAACGCCCTAATAGCACTAACGTCTCCTCTCGAAGCGAGATAATCCCAGACAAACGGCGCACTCGCCAAAGTCATGACACAGCTGGATACAGTAGTGATGATCCAGGAGTTCTGTTTCGGGGCAGGAAAGTGCGGGGAAATGACGTAGTACGCGGAGACGAAGGCGACGTAGGACAGTAGGAACGTCGCGCACTGAGTCTGCGCCGAGGGGACGAGAGCCATGGCCGTAGCGGAAAGGGACGAGTGCCCTAAAGGAAAAAAGTTCAGTCTAAAATTCGTATAAATGTTACGGAATATTCGGACCGAATATTTGTGGCTTTGTGCGGATGGTGAAAAGACGGAATAGAGCAAACGTGCGCAGGGAGTGGCGTAAGTCGATTTCCTCGATTATAGAATTTAGAAGTGAATTCGAAAGGACAGCCAGTCAGTTGACCCTTCTCGAACGTTCAGTTATCTGGTGGTTTTTATCGAGAAGCTGGAGAAAAACTACGTCGTCCGCACAGGAGAACTCTCTTGTCTCGCGCACCTTTCGACGAGTCAGGTAGACTAATTCGAGAGATAGACGGCGGGACAGTGAGTACTTGAGTGACAGAGATTGTGGCACCGAGCTGTGGCCGCTGCCTGCCCTCTTGAAAGGCGTCCTTGGCACAAAGGTACCAACGGCCTGCGCATGTGTTACTACTAGTCCCATCGGTAAGAGATCTGCGACATGCTGCACACGCAGACCATAATTAGGCCTTGTCCAACGTCCAACCTAGGTCACATTCGCGTGTCGAACCGAGAAACCAACAACACGTCGAAAGTCTGCTTACTGTGGTTAGCTTAACTCACCGAAAGCGTGTTCTTTCCGTCAGCTTCTGCAAATAGATATATACTCACTGGAATTCGGCTCAAACAGCGCTAGGGCATTGTATTGAAGAAACTACAGCTCCAGTACCTGTAGTCGTCTCAGCGAGTCGAAGTCAGAAGTCGAGCGCCCGGAAAGTACAAGCGCCCGTAATGCATAAGCGCCCGCTGAATTCTTTTTTTCGTACGATCATGTCACTGTGCTCCATCCGTTAGCCCAACCTCCAGCGGTTCTTTCCACCCATTCTACACCACAAAAACCAATGTCTGCGTCCCAGCTTCGCCAATCCGCACGAAAAACTGCCAAAAAAGCGACATGTCAAATCTGCAATCAAGTAGAGAGTAACTACACTTGTTCGGCGTGTTATGTCCCTAGTACGTCTTTTTTCATCTTTTTTTTCGTAGCGTTGTTGCTCATGTTATGTCTAATGAACGTTTTTGAATAGTTGCTCCGTAGTATGCTTCAAAATTCATAAATCCTCCGACGGTAATTCCATCCCCGGCCAATTTTGTACTGGCACAAAAACCGCGTCAGAAGCATCGTCTTCCGCGCAATCTCTATACCAAGACATCGACAACCGTAGAATCGTCACCTATGGACCCCGCTTTACCAGCTCTCCAACATAACTCCAATACCAATACCGACTCTCCCGTCGCTAATGCCCTAAATGACCCTCCACCTCTTAAAACCACTAACATCTCTGCGCTGGCCCTACATCGCAGACGACGAACCGGCATATCCTGATCCTCTACAACGGAACGACCCCAAGCCGCTGAGGACACGGCATTATGAGGCTATCGGTACGCCGAATTCTCTTTCGCTGCTATCAAGTAATGCGTCTAATGTAATACTGCGATGTTTATTTATCCTACTCCTCTAGCCACCTCCTCCGCCGTCCGCAAAGCCCTCTTCACGTCTTCTCCTATCCCAGGGCACCCAGACCTCCCAAATACCGCTCTTCGAAACCTCCTTATATCCATCGATAAACTCTCTGGTGTCGAACGCGAGAGGGCACTTCAGCGCGCTTTGGGCGTTGGAGATGGAAGGATCGATATTGGGTTTGGACAAGGTATGACTTGTTTTATGACTATACTCGTCAAAAAAAGCTGAGAACGAATCGTTTTTTTTTTCCAGCTCCTCACCATCAACCTGAAGGATCAGGAGTATCAGAAGACGTACTCGCGCTGCGCGCGCTAGCCGAGGCCATCGAAGGTGCGGTGCGGGAGAAGGATGGTAAAGACGGCAGGGGACGTTAGGCTTGGATTGGGATTCTTTCTAGATATGTCTGTGATTCGAGATGTTATTCAAGGTGTATAATCGGCGTGTTCTTAATGTATCTTAATGTACCGTGTATCGTGTGTAATATGTGCGTATCACTATCTGGGGCTATCATTATTACTGTTCCCTCTATAACTCAATGAAGCTTTCTAATCCCCACAACAAGCCATAATCCATTCTTTTAACCATGGTGAGATGGCCGAGTGGTCTAAGGCGCTAGATTTAGGTTCGTTGTAGTGATACATCTATCTCTAGTCATTCGTGGCGTGGGTTCAAATCCCACTCTCATCATTCTATATTGGCTAGGGATTCTTTTTAGATACGTGTGTATTCGACTCGAGGTGTTATTCGAGGTGTATTAACATTGTGTATTATCGGCGTATTCTCCGTGTATCCTTACTGTATCTATCCGTCACTGTATCGTATTATGGGCGTATCATTATCTAGGTTTTTATAACTGTGGGTTCCCCTCTAAGCCTCCCCCTAACAAGGCATAATCCCTTCTTTAAACCATGGTGAGATGGCCGAGTGGTCTAAGGCGCTAGATTTAGGTTGACCTCTTGTGAACCATCTCTAGTCATTCGTGGCGTGGGTTCAAAACCCACTCTCATCATTAATAATTATTTGGACAGGAATGTTTTTTGATTTTTATTTGCACATCTAAAAGCGTGATCTGATAAATATTGTCTACTATCCTTAGCTTGAGTTGAATCCGGCTGCTAAGATACGTGGAGCTCCCCATGTGGCAGGGTGTAGAGGTTCCATGGAGGTTCCATTCGTTAAGCAAGTAACAAGACCTATTAGGAATAAGTCTCTAGCGATGTTTTTCTTTAACTAGTATAACTATGGAAAGCAAGAAGGGCCTGCCACCTCGGATCAAGATTTTTGACGTAGCCGAACTGATGTTGCCAAATCGGGACATGGACCTCGGGCACTCGTTACAATTATGTAAATCTATTACTATTTATCCATTGGTACGCCGTCGGTTGAGAAAAAATGCTAAACACGCTGCAAATTAACAGCAGAGTATACTACTGCCTCATATACGGTCACGGCGGTGTCGTAAAAGATGGTCGTGACCGTGCAAAGTAAACTGTGCCAGTGACCATGTTGCCATCCCCCTTTACCTGTTTTTGAGCCTACCACTTGTAACCTGAGTGCTGAGTTCATCAAGGGCTCATTAGGAGGCAAGCACAATATTCAGGTCAGCTCGAGCCTGTACAGAATTGCCACTGAATTGATTACCCAGGCCCGGGATTTATTGCTGTTTGATGTTAGAGATGATCTAGGGGCTCCTTCGGTCGACGAACATGATTCAGAGATTCAAGAAGAGCTAACAACTCTTTCTCTGTACCAGAAATCAAACCTCATTGCTATTGAGATTCCAAGCATAGGCCAGCCTTCCAGATTCCATTCATGATTCTTCTATGTAGTATGGAATAAGTAAGTACAATATCCCTCAGTAGTACACTTGAGTGTTAATCTACTGGATTAAATTGCACTTAGTAGTACCTGTAGAATGAGTCATACTTGTATAAGTAACAGGCTCTGATTACCTACTAGTAAAGTTACTTAAACTCACCCCAAGACAAGCCTTCAGAAGTAAGTACACTTGACTGTAATCAACTGAGGGCACTGATGTAAGGGAGAAGTTTGAAACATACTAGATAGAAATCTAGACGGGTGAACAATTCAAGGTCAATTCTGAGTCAGATGTGAGTAATTCAGATTTCCTCCTGATGAGCTTGGGATTAGAGTGGGACTCAGCCAGAGTACTTACCCTTAATGATATCTTGGCTAGAAAGTCTGTGTTTGTCACATACTTGTTCAATGTATTCGGTACCATTTGGGCTCTTGAACCGAGCTTAGCTCGTGCCTATGCTTGAACCAATTCTGATCTAAGTATTCAAGGAGGGAAAGCCTAGCTTTTCAAAGCAAATTCCAAAGTCTTCTGAGTGAGAATAGTTAGGTTTTCTAGTGAGAGAGTCTGTCTAGCTACTCCTAAGTAATTCATCCTTTAAATACAAGCAAGAATTTCAGATTGAATAAATGGTTTATTGAAATAAGTATGTCCTTGTGGGTGTAGTACAAGTCGTGCTACATGAACAACTGTGCATGTAGTTCAGCAAGCCATGTGGCAGTTCACTGGCACTGGGCAGCATGTACAAGACTGCCATACTTGCCATATTGGTCACAGCAATGTATTAAGCAGCTGTTCTGTGTCAAAGGGAGTACTATGGGAAGAGGAGGCCTGCCCGCCTTTTGCTTCCGACGTAGATGGGACGTGTTTTGGTCCTGGTTTAATTTATCCTCCGGTGGGGAGCTTCATTTTTCCTTGCCTCTTTTATTTAACCTACGTATCTCATTTATCCGAGTGCCTTTCTATGACTTGGCAGTTTTGTGCATTTACTTATATATTCAGGACACGTCGTTGTTTCCCCTCAGTCGTTTACTTTATCTATGTATCTGTGGAACTCGTACTTACGCTTATACATGTAGCCGTACTTATTCGCGTTTTACAGGTACTTACCGTTCTCAATACGAGTTGGTTGTATTGCACACTTCTGAGGCCATACTTATTTGTGTTTTACATTTTGTCGCTGGCTCACTGGTAAAAGGTACTGCCAGGGAGAAGAATGACTCCAGGATATAAAGATGTTTGTTTGGAAACTAGAAGAAAACTGAGATGCCACAGATTTTTCTCGTTTAGTTTCAATAGTGACACAAGATGGTAGCAATTATGACTTTGTTATGACTTTAGATTTAACCAAAGATTTGGAAACCCCAGAACTGATAGCCCCTATAATAGGAGTCCAAGTAGTGCAGTGTGATTACTTATTATTTCTGACGGCACTGAATAGTATGGGCTAGGGCTTGTCACCGTATTTGTAGCCTACGGAGTGCGGCTGTAAGTTACAGGAAATCTTCCGTACCGTAAGACCTTCGAATGAGCTGTATTTTACCATACCGTTACGCTGTATTACGCCGTATATGACGCATCATCACACGCATGTATAACGACTTTTTCTTGCAATTCTGAAACAGGAGAAGCACAGAATAAGAACCTTAAGCCCTTGATACATGCAAAATAATACCATTCACCACATATTTGGGGGCAAAGGAGTTCATTGTCACGAGTGAACCTAAGGTACAGTCCGTATACGGAATACAGCCGTATTTTGCCTGTACTGTACCATAGGAGACGAGAAAATCTCCGTACTGTATACGTTACATATGGTGAAGAGCCCTATACTACTAATGGGTACACACTCTCACGTGAGGCATACATAGAGTACTTAGCCTTGTACTCTTAAGTAGCTAAGGGCATTTAACTTCTCGTCCGAGAACAGAGCAATGGGAACAGCGGTGATAAATAAATTGGATTAGATTTACATAATTATAATGGGTGCCCGAGGTCCATGTCCCGATTTGGCAACATCAGTTCGGCTACGTCAAAAATCTTGATCCGAGGTGGCAGGCCCTTCTTGCTTTCCATACATAACCTTGAGTATAACCCTCTCTTGTAGCTTTATATCATGGTGAGATGGCCAAGAGGTCTTCACGCTAGATTTGGGTATCTACTTGGTTACTTCTATGAAATCTATCTCTATTCGCGGCGGGGGTTCAAATCCCGCTCTCATCGTTCGCTTTGTTGAACATTACATGCTGCTTTGTTTTTCATGGTCAAAATTATGCGTAGCTTTTGCGTCCCGTAGTTTGATCATACTATCAACTGAGTTCTCCAATCCCAGCTTGATTTCCGTCGTCCTCTTAAGATATACTATCTCGCTCCCGAGACTGGGGCGTAGAGACTGCATGCACTACTAATACTTGGTTGCTGGCTTCTAAAAAGATTATCCATCACCATAAGTATATCAGTGGTATCCCTCTTGTTAAACACAGTGAGATGAAGACGCGGTCTAGTGTCTAAGGGTGGCGCGTAACCTTGAGCTGTTTGCTCTCATATTATCTCTAGTCACTCCTCGCGGCTCGCACGGGTTTTAAATCCCGCTCTCACTCTTTCCATGGCATCCCTGGACTCAAAATTCAGTTTTTTTTTGGAGCTTGATTGGGTTCCCGGTCTAGTGTATTTGAAGGTGGCGTAACCTTGATTATTGCTAGCTCTCATCAGACTAAGACTCATCTTATCTCTAGTCACTCACCGCATGGATTCAAATCCCAAGCCTTTAATGAGACCCTAATTTTGGGTTCAAATTTTCGGGAGATGGTCGAGTGGTTGATGGTAGAGATGGGCACAAGTGTTCATATGTTATGCTTCACTTTTATTAAGTGTGATCTGATGATTGTAATCTCCTAATCCTAGCTGGATTCGAATCTGCTCCTACAATATGTGTTGGAGTAAAATGATTAAGTCGCCGAAAGATCACTTCACTCCAGTCTATAGCAGAGAAGCCCTAGCAAACACAGAGGGGAAAATAATATTGAACGGTGGTTTAAGGGCCTGTTCGGCAACATGAATCTCAGATTTTGTTTGGATTTTGCCAGGTATTGCCACCATATAAAAAAAGCCATCAAGCATTTGTAAGTATTACTCAGATCAGCCAGTTGAGCGCTCCGTGTAAACGCGCATGCTGTCACAGCCTGTCAGACATTTCTTCCATGTTGAGGTCAACACCCCGCTCGATGCTCAGACATGCCCGCCGCTCTCAAATGTAGTTTTTACTTTAGGTTTCACTTGCTTAGACAATATAGAGGAACAAAATCGCTTTAACAATAATATACAATTACATTAAACTTGAAAGATGATGACCAGAACATGTTGGTCACTGGGTGGCATCATTGAGAGTGGTCGGGATGACTTGCGGGACAGCGAGAGGAATGTCCAACATGTCAGGGCAGGAGTTATGTCATTTTATGACATTTCCAGAGTCATGGCGACCGGCCAGCTGATCCGAACATTTTATATAAGTCTTCAAAATCTTGCCTCTGGCAAAATCACACAAAATCCAGATTCATGTTGCCAAACAGGCCCTAAATAAGCTGCAGCTATGGAGAAATATACGGAGAAATATACGGAGAAATATAAGATAAAACATAAGGTAAAACAGATAAGCTCCACACCGGCGTGCACTCCGGGGCAGAATAAACATCTAAAACTACTGGAGAAATATCGGCGAGCAAATCAATTGCACAGCTGATAATATTTCCAACAATATGTAGCTAGGTAGCAGTTCCTTGGGTGTAAATGTTCCATGCGTTACACAAGTAAGTAACAAGACTTAACGGTGCTTTAGATAGTATAATCCTCTCTTTTAGTTTTCAGCATGGCGAGATGGCCGAGAGGACTTTGCGCTAGATTTGGGTATCTACTTGGTCACTTCTGTGGATTCTATCTCTATTCGCGGTGTGGGTTCAAATCCCGCTCATCATATAACATACCAGTCTATGGGGACATTTCAGGTTGCTTTACTTTTCATGTCGAGATTGTTCTCGACTTGATTCCATGAACTGAGTTCTCCTGGCAATCCCAGCTTGATTTCCGTCCACCTCTCAAGATATATAGTCGAAGGGGAGTTCTGTGGCGTAGAGGCTCTATTCACTTACTTGTTACTGGCTTTTAAAAAAAAATTCAATTACCATATATTACTGGTGTTCCTCTTGTCAAACACAGTGAGATGACGGAGTGGTCTAGTGTCTAAGGGTGTGGACATTAGGCTGTTCGCCCTCATCTTATCTCTGGTCACTCTTCGGCATTCATGTGGGTTCAAATCCCACTCTCACTCTTTCCGTGGCCTCCTCGGGTTCAACATTCAGTTTTTTTCGGAGCTTGATCCAATGACACTTGTAAAGAATACGATGACTGGATACCTGCAATGCCGCTCAAATTTCCACTGCTCCTCCTGCACTCCCCACGGTTCAGGACACCTCCCCAATCGTCTATGCAATCGAAGAAACAACCGCTATTGCCCGCAGATGATCCAAGTAAACACGGTTCATGGTAGTCTACACTGTCACTACACTAGAAAATCTGTCCATCCAACGTCCTAGTGACATGTGGGTACTCCGACTGATATAGCCGGGTAGGAGGCTAGGAGCTCCCGATGTGTGGAGGTTCCATTGACTTGTTTGCTAGACTACAGTAGTAAGGCGTTTTAATAACAATAATAAAGCATCTCCCCCTTGTTAAGTATGCTGAGACGGCCAAGTGGTTTGAGGTGCTAGATTTGGGGGTGCTTATGTAGTAGGGCTAAGTAGCCCTCTCATCGATATTTCATTTCCTGTCGATCACATTCACTGATACTCTATTTTATTTACAGTATTTTTATGGTACAACTGAAATGCTGGGACAATACAGGATCCAGATTCTTGATTAGCAGGAGGATCCGGACCGCCACCGACACTACGATACCTTTAGCAAGTGTCGGACATGCTACAAAGCTTTGTCCACTCTGTTAGCTGGTGTCGGGGGATTGAGTATCCCGATCCTTCTTGCTGATTGAGGATCTCGGGGAACGGATCGGACCGAGTCGAGGTTAATTAACTTTCTTTTCGATCACTTTGTCATTATACTTTTTTTCTTTGGTTACTTATATTTAGTAGCTACATCTCTGTCATATAAAGTAGCGCATCGAGTAGAAATCAACACTTTCCCCCCTTCATCCGGAACTGTCACGGTGTCACCTCAGAGGCCAACTATAACGCACCCTATGGGCAAAGTCCTTAAGAACACCGGTGACTCACACAACAAATAGGATACTATTGTGTGTACGATGGTGTAAAAGACTAACTAGACTCTTAAGTAATTGTACAATACTTATAGTAACAGTTTTATTATATAATTAATAATAAATAGAAAGATAAGATAGACTGTTTGGTCTATCGGCGGCGTCTAGGATGACCGTATCGCCAGATACAGTCAGTGGTGGTGATGGAGAGGCAGAGGCGGAGGCGTTACACCCTCCCCCACCAGATTAACATCAGGGATGTAAATCGTACAAATGGTAATGACATCATCACCATCCAAACAATTTTTAGTTTTGGATTAACTAAAATGATCCCGCATCAAGTACGGGATGTAATTGATGCGGCGCATCAGATTTTCGGGCTTATCCGAATCAAACGATAGCGGGGCGTACCACTAGAGCATGATTTGATTCGGAAATGTCCGAATGTTCAACGCGCAGACTCGGAAGTTTCCGAGTAGCACTTGAAGAGGATTCTCATTGAGAATCCGGGTTCAGGAAATGTCGCATAGGCGTATAAGCAACAGTAAGCGCTAACTTTAGCGCTGAACACGTGATTGGCCTGGAATCGTGTCAAGATGACCTGTTTCCAGGCCACTACAAAATCGATGTTTGGACTTTCCAACACATCAAAATAAACTGAGTAGTTTATTATATGGGTCATATACACCTTATTGAAGGTGTAGGGTGAATATATATGTGTATATATAGGCCCCGGGCAAGCATTTCATCGCCGGGGGCATTAGGAGGAGTCCTCCTTTATAGGTTCAAGAACATGTTCAATGTTCTCAGTATCTAACTCATCAGGGTGTTCCAATGATTGTTTGTCATCTCTATTCCTAGATGAGACATAATAGTTAGTGAGGGCCGTGTGGTCCTCAATGCGCGTGATGGCTCTGACCATCACTTCTAATTTGGCATACTCTGGAACGATCCCCTCATTTGTGAGTTGCCTAATAATATTGAGGGGTAATCCCTCAATGAACCGTTTCCGCATTGTTGCGCCATCCGGTGTTTGGAGCATCTGTGAGGCCCATCGTGTAAGTGAGGAATAATAATCCCTCACACCCGTATCAGGTGAATACTCAATAAGGTCAAACTGCCGTGCAGCTTGATGAATGGTCGTTGCTTGGATGCAACAATCAAAGTCACCAATAATGGCGCCTTCAAATGTCCACTTAAGGACAGTGCGGTGTATACCGGCGACTTCGTCGTTATACCAGTCAAGGGCTTTGCCCTGTAGAAACATGCCAAGCATGGCAGTCCGTGTAGCATTGTAATCGTCACCGCACATGTGGTTGACTACCATCCATTGGAGAAGTGACATTAGCCACCGCTTGAAGACATCGACATCCGGAGATCCGTCATAGACCTCCGGAGATGGAACTTTAAGAGCTTTACAGCTCTCAATGGGAGGGATAGGATTCCCTACCTTATCTCAAATTTGTTTACGGTACACTTTGTGTACCTTGTGTTTCCATCGGGAACGACATTTGTCATCACCTGTTGTTTCTCGCATCTTAGATGCAAGTGAGCGCAGTAGTTTACACTGCTCATTTTTAGTAATTTTACCCTTGCGGGTAGCAAATTTGTCTAGCCAAGAGGCATTAGACAATGAGTCAGTATTTGACTCAGTATCACTTGGGTCCAATGATTCATCTGACCACGGGCTGCGTTTGCGGCCTTTGGGTTTAGCACTCTTGTGCTTCCTCCCCCCTTCACGGGATTTTTTGCTAGGCACTTTTGCTCCGGCATTATTGCTTGGTCCTGGAAAGGACTCAGCAGGTGGAATGTAAAATTGATCCCAGATTTCTCTGGGAGTAGTCAATTTATCAACGGGTATTCCGTCAACATTATATCCCACCATTTGGTTGGGAAGCCCAGATGGCGTGAATCCAAAATCTCAGAGACTGGTGTTATGTTGGCGTTGAATTGCTAT